GTTTCGCCCTGCGTGGCGTTATTGTTGAACTTGCGTTGTTCCCTTGTATAGATTCAGGCGATTTGGCCGACTCCCTTCGCGCTTGACTTGGTGTATCCATTGTTGGTGTTTGTGTATTGTTTACCCCTTACTATTTTTTCCTTAATATTACCGTACTGCCTTGATGGTTGTTATCATTGGGTTTTAAATGCGCGTGACTGCTGGATACAGAGCGAAACAACCGGTCCTGACCGCATGTTTACCTTTTGACCCCGTTCCTGCATAAATGTAACGGCTCAATGAGAATTTATGGAAGACTCACGTATACCCGTCAACTGTTCTTCTGAAATAACCGTTTGCCAAATACCAAGATTACAGGCGTATAAAATCAACAGTAATTATCTGGTTAATTATTGGCGAATATCAATAAGCTCAGGTTATGTCGTCTTCATTTGGTTGCGGACATCATGTCTTTCCTCCCCCTCCCGCCTCCACCGGCTCTATCAAACCATGGTCACCGCGTAACCAACCGTTTTTTATCCACCTTCCCCTATTCTCATGACTCACTTTGATCAAATGACGAGCAGAATTGACCGTATGTTCTACCTTTTGTACCGTTCCGGTTTTGTATCCCAGTCTTAACCCTACTCTCTGTCTTTCTATAAAAACCGGTGTTAAGTGATATAAAATGGATTTTAGACGTTCGGGGGCGGCTATTCTGCAAAACATGCTGACCGTCTGTCTTTTACTTCCCCACGAATTAGTTAACAAGAACGCTTCAAATGCAATAAAAGCGCATATATTTAATGTGATTGGTGACATTTCGCCCTAAGTTAATATATATAGGAATCTAGAACGAGGCAGATTAAACTTTCTTGAAGTCCCTGTGGCACGTCAGCTCGTCCACCTTCACGATCTACAAAAGAGAGGAGAGAGAGGGAGGCCAACAACCTTAGTAATAAGAATTTTGTTTTAGTAATGATGGGGCAGGCATACTTGTATCAGTACACAACAACTTTGGTGTCCGAATCTACGGACACCTTTTCATGCATCTTGCGTGAGAGCTTTACTTCCATTACCTGCGCACCTTATAAAATAGGACTTAGTTGAAAGCCTAACATTGTTTACGACAAGGAACTCAAAAAAAGGTTTGGGGCAGCTGAGACTGGTATCACTTACCGTCCTTATATGGTCACCCTCAACCCTCCGTTCGATTTCTGTGGTTTTATCACCCACTTGGATTTGCTTCATCATATTGCCAACCATAGTTATGGTTGAGGTCACCTTTCGACCGTCTGGTGTGGTCTCTGTGAAGGGCTCGCCCAGCTTGAACTCGAAACCGGTAGTTTTGAAGGTGCTGGAGGACACCATCTTGTAGTGATCACCCTCCTTCGTGATTGTCATCGTGGGTTTCATGGTGTTGCCGGCCTTACGGGTGACGAAATTGACGCCTAGACGGCCCATTATTTCGTCAAAGCCATCGCTGTGGTCGAGCTTCCAGGATCCAAGAAATGCTTCCATG